CGCATTTACATCTTTTATTTGGTCTTTCATTTTTTCTGGCCTCGTTGTATTGATTCGACCAAATGAATTTCGCATGTATGTATGCGTGTTATTTCTATGTCTGTGCTTATGGTGTCGTCCATTGCAATATGTATGTATATTTCTTGTATTATGTATATGTATGTGTGTGTGTGTGTGTGTGTGTGTGTGTTGTGTGTGTGTGTGTGTATCTCTGTGTGTGTGCGTGTGTGTGTGTGTATGTAGTACTTATGAATATGTGTAAGTATGGTCGTATGTACCTGTATGTAAATTCTTGTAGGTATGCCTGCATGCATATACGTGTGTATATACAATACAGTACACATGTTTCTCTTTACTTTTATATATTAATATGCTTATATGTATGGATACATGTCTTCAGCCTAAGTAATTGCAATATCCTGATACATATACAAAACCTCTAAGAAAATCTTGCTTGTATGTGTCTGACTTTGACAAAAGTTTAGTATTCACCCATATTCCATTATGATGCCATAACAAATATAAATAATTTTGCATCATTCAGATATTCTTAAGACGGGCTAGAATGTTTTTTCTATTATTCAGATACTCTTAAGACGGACTAGAATGTTTTTGTATCATTTAGCTATTCTTTAGACAGGCTAGAATGTTTTGTATCGTTCAGATATTCTTAAGACGGGCTAGCATATTTTGTATTCTTCAGATATTCTTAAGACGAGCTAGAATGTTTTTTTTTTTTTATATTATTCAGATATTCTTAAGACGGGCTAAAAGGTTTTTGTATCATTCAGATATTCTTAAAACGGGATAGAATATTTTTGTATCATTCAGATATTCTTAAGACGGACTAGAATGTTCTACTTATGATTGCGATAGAACACCCATGGAAGTAGTCATTGCGTAAGGCTTCCTATGAATTCATGATCTCACAATTGCGGTGTAAAAAATCGATACCATTTTGAGCTGTGTGGTGTAATCTCAAGTACGGTGACTTCATAAAATATTCCTTGTGTAATATTCATCGCAAATTATACAGATTTCCTTCCACACAAAAGATATTCCTTTTCATTTTATCTTCTCTGGAATGTTTTTTTTTATTATTATTATTCTTTATCTATTATTATCATTATCAAGCGGAACTTTTCTTTCTCTTTATTTCAGTATGAAAAATGTCCAGATTACTTTTTATAGTCTTTATATTGCATGGAGTTCAGTGATTGAAATCAAAATCTATTCAAGATGTCACAGAAAAAATGCTAACTCGGGTTAAATGCCCTGGAAGTGTAGCATTTACAACTTGAAAATGGATCGAATAAAATAGTGGAAACTACGACAATTTTTATTCTAATATATGCGCAATTTTATAAAATATTTCTTAAATGAATTGTGTAAAAGTATTTTCTTTCTCTTTTCTCATATCTATTACGTCTGGAATGTTCAGTTCATATTAGACTGAGTTAGTATTAATCACAGATCCGTTGATCTTGATGGGGAACTTGGCTCCGCTTCCCTTCAGCTTATAAAGGTCCTTATCCTCCTGGTTGCCTTCTTCAGCGTCGCCTCCTTTTCCTCTCGCGGCGAAGGACGTGGCTCTGGCGGAGGCGTCTTCGTCTCGAACTCCTGTCGAAGGCTTGGAAGGGGAGCAGGTCTGCTTCCCCGAAATCTCTTCTGTTCCCTGGACTCTGACGGGAATGACGGTGGTGTGCTGCTGAGAATCTCCTTTCTGTTCGAAAAGAGTTTGGTATGTGAGTACTTTTCCTTGAAGTAATTGTGTTAGTTTTTTTTTTTTTCATTGAACCCTCTCCACACTTACCAAAGAGAATTATAGTGAAAAATAGTTAAGATTGATGTACCTGGTTTGAGGAGGAAGTTTCCTCGGGTCCGCGAGTCGCACTTGCTTTGAAAGGTACGTTGGAGGAAGCAGAGTTTGCGCTGGATACGGGAGTGGCATTTTGCAGCTTATTTTCTTTTGCAACAGCGCCTGTTGCAGCCTCATTCGACTTGAGATCTCCATTCTGCATGACGGTGTCGGCAGGACCAGTTTTCTTTCCTTCGATGGTTATGGGCACGGAAACCTCCTTGACCTGGAGCTTCGGCTGCTGTTAAGGGGAGAAGCCCATCAGAAACCCACTTGCCTTTTAGACATCAGTTAAAGCCTTTTAGACACAGTCTTTCGCTTTGTGATGATGATACACAGTGGATGGGTGGAGGGCTTACCTTCTTAGGAGCCGAGATGGTGAGCACACCGTCAGAAGACACGACTGAGGTGACTCCATCCAGCTGGATGTCTCCAGGAACAACGAAGCGCCGAAGGAACCGCTGAGAACACCTCGACCCGTCTCCCTGCTTCTCCTTGCGGCCTTCGACCACCAACTCTCTGTCGCTCACAGCCTTCACGCTGATCTCTCCGCCGTCACTGAAGTCTTTCACGTCGAGAACGAACTGGAAAAAATGAGCGGGAAATTTACTACATACGAAAAAAGTCTAAATATGGTCACAA